TTGGATATATATATATATATATATATATATATGTATATATATATATATATGCTCCTTTTTGTGAAAAATATAACACCACTAATAAATTTTATAAATAATAATAAAATATAGGTTGAATTGATAATGTATATTAAAATATTTCAATTAATATTTTTTTAAAAAACATTCGATGGGTTGAAAGTGGATTAACTTGTCAACCCACCATTTTTAACCCCCAACCCACCACTAAGTGAAGTGAGTTGTATTTTTTAACCCATCTCCTGTGATAGGCTAACTTGTTCCACCTCACTTTAGGTGGATTGATCCACTTTGCCACCCCTACTCACAATGATCATTTGGCTCACTTAAGCGAGCATGAAGTCGCTTAGAACTTACTTCTCTCTTGCTTTGAGCAAGTATTCTCAATGTTGAGTTCCTTTCATTTTTTCTTCATATCTTTGTAATTTAGCATCCATTTCCTTGTATCTTAAAACAAACAAAAAATATCAAAAATTACCTAAGACTTAACAACTCTATTAACCAATTTTGACAAAAATAAGACTATAAAGTATAAGATATGTTCGATAATTATATAAGATTGATAAAAAAAAATATTGATATATTTGACAATTATCATACAAAAACCTACTAAACCTTTCTAGTGGGATGAAAAAGAGAGTTTTACAACTTCAAAGGTAGACAAACTCTTAACCCAACTCATAGGAGGGATTACAGGTTTCACTATTCTAAGATTTATAATTTATTGTAATTATAAAATTTGTGAGATTTTCATAAAGAACAAAAAATCGGATCCTTTCATGAAAACATGTTTATTCATGAAAAAATGCGTTTACGAAAAGTTGTATTCTTTTATGAAAGTTTTTTTTTAATAAAAGATATGTACATGAAAAGATGAAAATGTTAAAGGATGTATCTTGTAATATTGAAAGTGTGTATTCTTTCATTAAGGGAAGGGCGGAAAAATATAATGTATATTTCTCTGATTTGGGAAAAAATACAAAAGTGGTATAAATAGAATACAAGGGAATAAATCTGCACACTAATCTATCCCTAAAAATCTGGGAAATAATTCTCCCTATAAATGTTGTATCTAAATAATTAAAGGAGGGGAAATAAAATTGATCTTATTAACATTAAATCTTTACAAATCAGAATTGAATATTCTGATTGATATATGTTGATCTCCAACAGATTCTGATTGATATATGCTGATATCCAACACTCCCCCTCAATCTGGGTGGTAGATGTCTATCATACCCAGCTTGGATCTAATGTTTTCATACGTGTTCCTTGGAAGAGCCTTTGTTAGGATGTGTGCTGTTTGTCTGCATGATGGAACATGGTCAAAACTTATAATACCGTGGTCAATTTTTTCTTTAATGAAGTGTCGGTCAATCTCCATGTGCTTTGTCCTATCATGGTGGACTGGGTTCTTTGCAATGCTTATGGTATCCTTGTTGTCACATAATATCCTCATAGTGTAATTGATGGGAATTCTGATTTCATCCAGCATCCTCTTAAGCCAGATTCCTTCACAGATACCTTGAGCCATAGCTATGTATTCAGCTTTTGCACTACTCCTTGCCACCACAGGTTGCTTCTTACTTCTCCAAGTCACCAGGTTTCCCCACACAAAGGAGCAATAGCCTGTAGTTGATTTTCTGTCAGAGGGGCATCCCGCCCAATCTGAGTTAGTGTAGACTTCAATGCTTTTGTTTGAGTTCTTTTTAAAGTAGAGCCCTCGACCCGTTGTACCTTTGAGATATTGGAGGATTCTATTCGCCATTTTCATGTGGGCCTCAGTTGGATTAGATGTATAGCGACTAGCTAAGCTCACAGCAAAACCAATGTCAGGCCTAGTGTGAGTTAGGTAGATTAGGTTCCCAACTAGGCTTTGATATCTATCTTTATTAGCTGGTGGACTTTCTTCTTCACTTCTCTTTTCTAGCTCAATGGGAGTATTGGCTGCCTTGCATCCAAGCATGCCAGTTTCTTGAAGTAAGTCCA